TATGTTCATTGGTCTCTTTATTCTCTTCCTACCATCAACTTTTGGATGTAGTATGGTCAACATCTTTTCATGGTTTCTCAATTGCATGCAACAAGGATATCCAACCCGCTATGCGAGCTGATCAATACCAATGCAACCATCCGCTTCACAAGTAGCCCGAAGTCATCGTATTTGAACCCCTTTGGCCATAATTTTTTTTATTGTACAAGCCGAAGGTCGTTACGGAGATACTTCTTTGTTATATCCTATGAGGTCTCCTGTGTTGGTTTGATTTCGTTTGGTTACAATAAATTTATCAAATGAAATAAAAAATAATGGTAGAAAATGCAAGCAATAAACCTATCATCATCAGCTTCAAAAGATAGAATGGGGTTTTTCCCTTTATAAAACACAGAAAAATAAGAGTTTGTTTTGACATAAATAATATAAGTATGCTAATACAATATAAACCCAACCATTTTGTTAAAGAAAACTACCAAAAGCAACACCACCAATGGAAAGGTAAAGAAAGTCCGCTTCGTTCAATGCACAAAAACTAGCATCAAATCAATTTCAATTGTTSGTAATACATTGAGTTGGGGGTTAGAGATACAGAGATGGGCTGCTACATATGTTGATATCACCTCTCACCAGATAAATATATAGATGTGATACCCTTTTGGTAGAACCCACCCTCAAGCAGTTCGCAATGGAGGAGATACCAAAATCACACCATCGCCTCTAACGAAAAGGAATGGAACTGTTCGCCTTGTGCTCTGCAATCACAATCCAACAATAACCGTAAACACCCACATAACTAATAACCTGCTACTTACTGCTAATAATATACACACAAAAGAAAGGAAAAGAACGCATACCCGGACAATCTCTTCATAAGTTTCGTCATCAATCTCAACAGTCGTGACAATCTCTTCAACATCCCCAAGAATCATGTTCAAATGCTGATCGTAAGCCTAAATGTTGCACATCAACAGTCAAAAGATAGATAACTACTCAAAGTTAATAAGTAACAGCAAACCATCAATTAATCCCCATGCCAGACAGCAAAATACTGAAACTTTTCTAGACTAGTCGACAACTTTCAACTTTACTACTACTTTGCGTTTGTACAGTACTCAGAGTGTGATCATAACAAGAACAAGGACTGTGAAGCAACATCATCTAGAAACCCAAACTGATTATATCTTAATTAATCATAAATCCATGAGTTCTATGGTTCACCTGCTTAGCATTATGCGCGAGAATAATAGTCCCCCTTTATGATTCCCCAATTGGAGAACTCCCTAGACATACACATCTCGTTCACTCCTCTACAAGGGTTTCTTCTACATACATATTCTCTCTTTTACTTATTTCAGCCTTCTTATCTTCTATATGTAGTTATGATCATATTACAATATGCCCTGTTTGGCAACACATCATATCTAGATCCCAACCAAAGGCAAAGCCAACACATTGCTAAAGAGAGAGAGGTTTTCTTTCAACAAAGTATGGCAATAATTGGAAAATTGAGAGAGATAAAAGCAATCTCCATAACAAGTCTCTCCACTTGATGGGTTTGTCTCAAGACCTGGCAATGGGTCAAATAGGGTGGACCCGTGGGAATACCTATTCAACCGGCAGGTACAATGGGTAGGGCGGTCAGGAGGACCACCATGGCTCCTCATGGGTACAAAAATACTCATTAATGTTTCCAAAACTATGTATGGTCGCATGCTCTCCTTGTACTTGTACCAATAAAACCATGAAACAAAAAGCCACTTTTAACACAAGAACAATGTAGATCAACAGAACAAAGTTAAAATAAAATCAATCGAACTGAAGTGAACATATTCTAAACACAAGTTACAAATAGAACTTGCAAGACACATAGAACACAACAA